TTTTTTTTTTTTTTTTTTTTTTTTTTGTCCCTATTTACAAAAATTGTAAGTATGTTTTAAGACGTCAAGTAAGGATGAGAATAAAACATTAATAAAAGGTTATAGAAAAAGATGTGATATGTGGTCTGCTTTAACCCGTCAGTTTCATGATTCTTACAACTGAGTCTGCTAGCAACTAATGTTGGATTGTGAAGCCTAATCCCTCTCCAACCAATGTTTGATTGTGAAGTCTCACAATTTTTTAAATGTATCTGCTAGAAAGAAATTGAGGCCAACGTCCTTGCTAACACACTGTTTGGTGTCTAGCTATGATACGATTTGTAATAGTCCAAACCTACTGCTAGAAGATATTATCCGCTTTAGCCAGTTGCGTATTGTCATCAGCCTCGTGATTTTCATCTACTAGAGAAAAGTTTCTACCCTTATAAAAAATGTTTTGTTCCATCAACCACCGTGGAATCTCGACAAGAAATATTTCACAAAAATTTTGTTCTAAGATAACAAATTACTGCTGAAAAAAGGTTCCAAAAAAGCATAAAATTGGACATTATGATCCATTCCTGCTAAAAAAAAAAAAACAGAGCTAAACTACACTGCCAGTAACTTCCGATCACCTGAAAAGAAGCAATTTGGGTTCATAGATGGTTTGACAATGCAAACCAAACCTAAGATTTGTTCTTCTTGGTTCTCTGATACTCATTTTCGAAGGAGATATCGAAAACCCGACGATCATTCTCTGTCGGGACATCAGTGATAACACAATAGATTGCAACCATTATATCCTCAAAAGAAAACTAATCAACAGAACTCAGCAAAGCAATGCACCAGAACACCCAGAATTGCATTATCAAGTTGAAGTCTACACAATTTTTTGAATTCAAAAAGCATAATGGAAAATCAATTACCTACAAAACTTGTACAAGCGAGTCGGATGAAATAAGGTTGCTGGTGCCAATCATTATTGAAATTAAGGCAGTTTATTCAACTTTTGGAGAAAGTTGTCTACTACTCCTAATGAGAATGACTTGTCTGTCCTGACTCGAGATTGAAAGCCATTTTCGATTTCTACACGCTCAGCTTCAGTTAACTTTTGACTGATGAGGTCTCCAGAATGTCATAGTGACCGTACCCATGAAACAGCACGTTGATAGGACTTTCTTCACCCTTCTGATACTCCTGACCATACTCGGCTATGTTTATCAGACCATCGGAGCTACTCCCTCTCATGAATACTGATATCGGTGTCCTGCGAGATGCAAAGTGTTACGAGAAGGAGATGAAGGTAATTAAAGGGTCTTCAACTTTGAACTGAAATTCGATGTCCCATTACTATGGTTTTCATCTATGTAAATGTGGCAAGTCATTGTACCTAGCTAAAATAACAATCATTCAAGGATGAAAATAACGGGAGAGTTCGACGTGTACATTGAGGGTTGATCGACATCTTCCATATCATTTACAAATACGCATAAAACATAAAAAGATATCATCGATTAACCCCAACATAAATATAAATACTATGAACAAGATCTATAACTTAGTTTGAATAGTTTTTTTATTTTATTTATAGAAATATCCATCGATAACTTTGCAAATATGAAATCTCGATATTGATGACATCATCGACATTTGTATCCTTGTAATAATTCAGATAAGAGTAAGTTTTGGAATGACTTTTGAGAACAACTTTGGAGTGAAATGCCTTTTTATAAACACTTTTGAGAAAAGCATCCAAAAACACTTTTAAGGAACTTTATGGATAATTAGCTTTAAAACATTCTCCACTATCCTGGATGGAACACTTTTTGCCAGATATTACCTAAAATTAAAAGCACTGTTAACCACTTTAAAGGTAAACCTGGATGGAACACTTGATCTATGAAAAGTGTTTGGATTAACAGTACTAATTTCGACAACTGTACCGATCTCACCCTTTCGGATAGTATAAAATCTGGCAGTGATTTCCCTATCCCGAGTTATTGGTATGCTTGTCCTAAGCGCATATAAGCTCGAATTAAACCCCATTTGATGAGACCCACTTTCTCTTAGTTTTACAAAGCATAAAGAACTCACAATCCAAATACAAGCCGAAGGTTCTCAACCTTGGACGTCTTAGACTCGACTTGTCACTGCCATAAACCAAACATCTCCAAATACAAGCCTAAGGTTCTCAACCTTGGACTTCTTAGACTCGAATTTTTACTGCCATAAAACCAAATATCTCCGAATACAAGCCTAAGGTTCTCAACCTTGGATGTCTTAGACTCGACTTGTTACTACCATAAACCAAACATCGCCAAATACAAGCCTAAGGTTCTCAACCTTGGACGTCTTAGACTCGACTTGTTATTGCCGTAAACCAAACATCTCCAAATACAAGCCTAAGATTCTCAACCTTGGACGTCTTAGACTCGACTCATTACTGCAATAAACCAAACATCTCCTTCTTAAGGGTCTACAAGAAGCCCACAGCTCACAGCTAAAAGCCCAAAGCCCCCTACCCTCACAGAAAAATACAAACATGTTTTGTCTAGTGACACATGAAAGCTTAAAGTAAAAAGGGAGAAAGAGCTACTCACATCCACACGAAAACGGGGACTCAAAATGCATCAAATTAGTGTCTGTAACATATCAGCTTATTAGAAGAACAAAGTGTTTAGTACCACTTTGTGAGACATTATTCAAAGTCGTTAGCTATTTTGTAACATTGGATATAGGACGGAGAATCGAAAAATGATGGTTTCACCGCACACACATCCAACGATTTAGAGGGCAGCAGCCACAATATAACCGTCACGTTAAATAATTTTTTCCCACTTCGTTTCGTACTTCCTCTTTGTTTTAGGAGAAATTTTTATGCAAACTAATAATAGTCGAATTTTGATAGCATAAACAAAAACTTACTTCAAGACATGAGATGCCATGACCAGCTCAGGCTCTCCACCCCACACGAAAGGTTGCTGAATTCTCTTCACATATGCATCAAAATCTCCTTCAATATACCTAAATGCATTTTCAATCATCACAATCACAATCAGCCCATTTTTTAATCCAACCAAATTGTTCGATTCGTGTCACAAACATCAGAAGAGCTTACCACTCTGTTTCCTTCCGCCTCTTTAAAAGCTCATCCACGACCTGTAAAGCATCAAGAATCACATTCAACAATCTTGAATATCACGCATGCTTTTCCACATTGGAAGATTGTACATGAATTCCAATCTTACCTTAGCCCTTAATTCATCAGCGAGTTCTGTTTGACGATCATCATCAGGTGCTTCTTCCCCACTCTTCAAGCAAGCTCCATGAGCGATTGCCCTAAACAGACACCTACCATCCGCTAGCACGCCTGTTCATGTCAACAACCAGCAGAGCAATCAATAGCAGTAGCCAAGCAAGAATGGAATTATATCAATTCTAACAAAGAAATGAATAAAAAAAACATAGAATTAAGATTATACCATTAAATGATAACTTCCTTCTGTAATCGTCACAAATCAAAAGGAAATTAACTGAGTATAGAATACGTTCAATGAAATGAATTGGCAAATTTTCCACAATACCTGTCACCCTGTAATCAGGTGAGTTCTCATCGTCCTGATTAAATTCATTGCCGTTCGATTCACACCCTTCCTTCTTCTGTTCTATCGATACAGACTCTTGATTTGCATCCACCCAATCGAGCGGCGCAAGACAGTCACAGACGCCAAATAGCAGCCAAGCTGAATCGGGACGATGAAGCCAGCGGGCGGGGCGGGCATCCCAAGCAACGTTCCAAGAGCCCTCCCCTTTGCGCGCATGGCAATGAATCGCCGGACGACGGAGATCGCTAGTGCCTCCGGCGCCAGAAGGCAATATAGCGTGCCATATCGAAGCAGCACCACCGACCGCGAGCTTGCATGCGCTGGAATGGTGGCGCTGTCGCCGATCGAATTGGATAGGACTCTGAACGAGTAACCGGTTCTGCTGGTGGTGGTGATGGTAAGCGGCCGAGCTGTGAAAGAAATTCGAAAGGGAAACGAGAATCCAAGGCTTCGAACGAGCACAAAGTACTCCAAGCATCAGTCACTTGCATCAATCGAGGCAATCCAGCGCTGACAGGGTGTTCCCTTTGCTGACCCTATGCGGCCATATTCAGAGCTTCGGCGGCCGGTGTCTCTCCCTATCTCTCTCTGCTCTCCTTTTTTCTCTCTCCCACAAAATTCAGAGCAGATTTTTCTTCGATAATCTGCAACGGCGAAATATTTTAGGGAAGAGAGATAGAAATACTGTCAAGTGAGGCCCACCATCCAAAAAAGTCTCTTAAAAAAATATTTCTTTTTTACCATTTTTTAAATTTTTTTAAAAATTTTTTTTTTCGAGAGAGTGGTTTTTGTTTTGTGTTTTAAATATTTAAAAATTATTTTTAAATTATAGTTTGTGTAATTTAAATAATAATAAAAATTTAACCACCTAAACGAAATAATTATAATTCCGTATTAAACAAATGTATAAGATGTGACAATATAATATAAGAATTTTATTTTTATTGAACTCTTTATATTATTAATTTAGTTTTATAGTCTTAGTTTATTTTCAATTTCGTCCCCTTAAAAAATTAAACAAAAAAGATTTAAAATATTTATTAAATTCTTTTATTAATGCCATGTTATTTTAGGTACAGCCACAAAATTTCAGAGGTGGAAATAACTCAAAAAATTTCATACGTGTCAAAATCTAGACCACTCAAATTGCCTGCATAAACATGTCTGTTTTTTTTTAAATAATATGTAATTAATTTATAAATAAATAATACTAGTTGGGTTAAACAGTTAATTATAAATAGCTTATATGTACGGGGATGGCGATAGCTAGTTTTGGTATGTCGGAAATATCACTTTTACTATACTCAATCACTACGTACAGTTTGTGGGTAAAAGAGTAATTGCACAAATATGGAATACGACCGTTTTGAGAGTTTAAAAGCGGTTGAGTATTTATTCCGTACGGTCTTATACGATCTAATCGTGCCACGTGATCCTTTTACATTGAATAACGCCCCAATTTTGTTTCTCGAATCAAAATTTAGTAATTCTTACTTTAAAAAGTGATATCTAACTCGCTCAATCATATGAACGGTTGATCTGTAACGTATCCAATTATTTTCAACTATAAAATTTTTATTTAGAAACTATTTTCTTTTTTAATGATTTATGACTTTTTTTTAATAATTTTATTTTAAAATTATTTTCATATAAATATAGTATTTTATTTTATTATGAATTAAAATATATAGTAATTTCAAATAAATAAAAATCGGAAAGAAAAAAAATCTTAAATAAGTTACTCCAAAAAAGTAAAATATTATTTTTCTAAATAATTTTTAAATAAATTGTCAGAGAGATATTATTGAAAAATATATATAGTCAATATACATTTTTTTAAGAGATAAAAAAATAATAATAATAACTCCTTACACATTATTACTATTTATATTAGCCAATATTTACTCCTTATCTTAAATAAATAAATAACTTATTATTATTAATCATTTCTATTTATTTTTATTTTGATACAAAAAAGAAACGCAATTTAATTCTTCTATAGCACATCAAGAAGCATAATTAAATAATTATTTAATAAATATATAACTTTTATATATATTTTTTAATAAATATATAAGAGAGATATCAACATAATAAATATTATTATTTTTAACTTAAAAAATTATAATAATTTAGTTTCTATTATTAATAATATTATAAAAATGCAGTGTCAAATTTTAAATTTGATATTGAAATAATTTATTTATTTGCATTTATAAAAAAAAAAACTATTTAACTTTAATGAAAAAGCCAAAATATAATTAAAAATTATGCTGTCAATTTTTAATTTAACGTTTGTTGTTTTAACTTCTCCTGATTTTAGTTTTAATGTTTTGTGGTAAGTACAGCTCAAGTTTTTATTTTAATGTTTTGTGATAAAAAAAAAAATTAATAATTTCATATTTTTATTGTATTTTTTAATAAACTTTAAAATGAGTTTTTTTTTACTATTAATTTATTTTTATAACTATTATTTATAAACATTTCTTTTGTAATTTTAATAAAAATCTTTTAAAAAAAAATATTTTAACGGCTAATTTCTTTTCTATATATAGTACAGGCAGTACAGTACTATAAATTTAAAGATATTTGTGTTTATTACCGAAATTGCCCCTCAAGCATCAAAATACAAGAATATCCGTCCCTCCCTATCTCTTGTTTGAGGAATATGCCCTCCAAATTGGCGACCCTACCTATTATGGGAAATTTTTATGATCGATTTTTATTATAATAAATTATTAATTATTAATTATTTATGAAAATATATATATCATACAAAATAAAATATTAGAGGAAGTTTAAATAATTTTTGGAGTCATATTATATGAACCTTAAATGAAATTAAGAATAATAATAAAAAAAAAAACTAATCAATTTAATTCAAACCAATATAATTATGAAAATTTTAAAAAATTTATTTACTTTAAATTATCCAATTATTTATATCAGTTGAATAAATTTAAAATTTTAAAACTTATTGCAATTTTTATTTTGAAAAATTCATTTAAGAAAAACATTAATTTGTCTAATTCACATTTATGTTAATTAAGTTTTTACTTAATTTAACAACTTTTCTCTTTCCTTTTTAAAGAATATTAAATTATTAGCTTAATAAACTTATTAATAAACATTCGTAACAACTCTATATTTCTATTACTTATTTAAAGTCGCTATTAACCTCTCATGATTTGCTAAAATATGGAATATAACTCTTAAAATAAAACATCATTTGTAATATAAATGTTGAAAACATTTAAAACATCTTCTATCTTTGAAAACATAGTCATAATATTACGTGTTTAATATACGAAATACTGGAAATTTTAAGAAAATAAAAATAAATACAAAATGATTTAAATCAATAAAATGCAAGACAACTTATTCTAACCTAAAATTAGGAATTTAAATATGAATCTACCCTATGCACATGCCATAGTCTCAGTTCGCGATTTCGCCGTGATCCGTACATGGGGTACCTTACTTTTACCTACAAAATGATGTGGCACACAGTCTGAGTATTTCAAATAATACTTAGTAATTGACCTCACTATAAGGTCCATGCTAAATACAATCACATACAAATATGCTCTAGGAACCTATCTCTATCTCATCTAATCCCAAGGGTGCCCTTCCGTCCGAACTATTATGGAAGTGTAGTACTTCTATTATTCATTAAACTTAAAAGAATATTAAGAATATTTAGTACTAAATTATAATATATATCATATTTAATCTTTTTTTACAGACAAATACAAATATTTTATTACTACTAAATTATAATAAATATTTTGAGTTTATTCAACATCAATTATATTTAATTTGTTACGATGGGAATAAAATTATAATTTATAATAAAAATAAAAATTAAAAAATTAAAAAAAAATTCGAATCGTACCACAAAAAATTATAATTTAAAAGAAAAAAACGAAAGAGTTTTTAGGTTAAACAAAATTTGTGGAATTATTTTATATAACTTTTGGTGATGCAACATGCAAATGTCAGTGAATGCTCTAAACGTGTTGCACTTCACGTGTTTCATAAACAATCTGTTACGTATCAAATCATGCTTCCTATTCAGTCCAATCATTTTTTATTTTTTTTTTTATAAATAAAAGTTACTTTCTTTTTATAAATATAATTTTTTTTAAAAGTGTATACACATTTAAACTCCAAAATTATTTTTTAAGAAATCAAAATTTTCTCACGATTTGAAGGTTGAATAATAAATTTGAATTAAAAAAAAATGTAATGAAGGCTTCAGGTTTTAAAGGTTATTATTAGAATTCTCATAAAATTTTAAATTAATAAAAATATCTGTAAATTTCATACTTTCATTCAAAATATCTTTAAATTTTTAATTTTGAATAAAAAGGTTACTATAAACTTTTAATTATTTAAAAATGTTCGTAAGAAATTTCATTCGTACCTTTCAACATTTAAAAAAAGTAATAAAAAAAAATACTCGTATAATTAGTATTATGTTTAAAAAATACTCATAAAATTTTGAAAGTAACATTAACGCTCTTTATCTTTATAAAAAAATGTTAAAAATATTAGATTATCTCCAAAAATTAAAATATTTATTTAATTGTTTTTATAAAATGTTTAAAGCTGTTTTTTTAAAAAGTTGAAGGTATGCATAAAAATAATATTTAATATTAAAATAATCGTAATAAAAAAATTTAACATGTAGAAAGATTATAATAAGTCATTTTAATTTAAAAAATTTCAATTTTATATTTATAGATATTCGAAGTTCTTAATTTTATATCAATTAAATTATTAAATTTAAAAAAGTATATTAAAATTAGGAACCGATTGGGTATCAAATCGAAATAAAAAATAATAATTGAATACAAGACATCCAATAGCTTTCCTTATAAGGCGGTAGAGTTGAATAATCCAACATTATTATTGTATTTTATTATTATTATTATTATTATCGGTGTTAAAAGAGAGAAAAAAAAAATATATATATATATATATAATGGGCCCAATTACAATAGCCCATTACTTTCCATTGAAATGGGTCTAATGGGCCCAATTATACTAGCCCATTACTTACCGTTGAAATGGGCCCAATTAAACTTGGGCTGCTCCCATTTTGAATTCTTGTTGGGCTGTGAAAGCGAATGAGATTTTTCAAAATAACCTTTTTTTTTTTTAATTTCATTAATCAAAATAAATTTAATTGCGTTTATTTTTTTTTAAAAAAAGGGAAAATGCCATTTTTATTAAGACAATATTTGTAATTACTGTAAGATAATTGAATCTATACTAATTTATAATTATTAAAAAAAAGCCATATTATCTAAATTTTAGTGGGCCATTTCTTTTTATTGTAATTAATAATAATAATAGAAAGCTTTACTCATGGTTTTATAGACACCTAATTTGAATAATTAATTTCTTAAAAATTCGACATTAATTATCATCAAATTATTTATCTCTCCAATCAATTATTTTAAGAATAAAAAAAGAACAACTTAATATTTAAAATCTAATTAATTGTTTTTTTTTTTCATAAATCACTTTAAATATTTTAAAAAAATCATATAGGTTGGTTGGACTTTGAATATATTACTCTTTTTTATATTTAATAAAAATAATTACAGTAAATTTGAAATTTGAATATATTACTCTTTTTTTATTTATTTAT